CCCCTCCAGTTTACCTTTGAGTTCTCAGCAGGGGCCAGCCACAGCTCTGTGGGGCCTGAAGCTTACCTAATGCAGGAGGCCCTCTTCAAGGTCATGGAGACACCAATATCTTGCTTTTGCAAAGTTTTCTTTTCTTTTTTCTTTTCTTTTTAAGAGAGATAGTTTTACTATAGGGGGCATGCACTCTCTGGAAAGACAGAGAGACAGAAAGTGAGAAATCACACACACACACCCCACAGGGGGATGGCCACACTGCAATCCTTTCTCCTCTGTTCTCTTGGGATTTGGGGAACACATGCATACAGGCCCAGTATGAGTTTCAAGCCTCTGGGTCCAGGACTCAGATTGTGGTCAGCTACGTGGGAGTCCAGCGACATAACCATTACACCATCTGCTGGTCCCAGCTTTTGCCAAGTTTTCTAATCTTGCAGCCATTACTAGGGCCCATCCCAAGGCCTTGGAAGGTGCTTATGCAAACAAAGAGCCCTGAAATTTCAGCTTCGCCAGAATCACAGTTCATCCTCACCACTTTCTCAGAAAGCTCTCCCTAATCCCTAGATTAAGTAACTTGCACTGCTTCAGTGTCCCCACATGTCATGAGTATAATTAGGTATTTAATATCACTGAGGCCACAAGGAACAGGGTCTTATCCCAAAACTCTCTTTCCTGGGCTTACTCGCAGATGTTGATGATCTGCCATGGATGCCGCGGGAATTAGACAAGGTCCCTGCCATCCTGTCATCTACATTCTGGTGGGGGGAGAGTGGTGGTAAATAACAGGACATTTCTTTAAAGATAACTTCAGCTGGAGAAAGATGCAATGGAGACAATGAACTGGGTAATGGTCAAAGAATTCGAGACCAAATTAACAAGAAGAAGCCAGCCATGGCGAGATCTAGGGAGAGAGATGCTCCTGGCAGAGGAACAGCCAGTGCAAAGCTCTGAGGCAGAAACAAAACGGGGACGTCAGGGCTGAGAAGAGAGGCCATTGTCTGCCCTCAGTAATGGCAGAGGGAGCAAGGGAAACTGAGGGCAGACGGAGGCGAAGGACAGAACAGCTAAGACTGCCAGAATGGTCAAGAAAACTGGGTTTTATTTGTTTATCATGGTGAAATTCAGGGCCAGATGGTGGTAGAGCAGTAACACGTGGTGTTCTGCAGAGCAGCCTACATGGGAAGGTCCCCAGTTCAGGACCAGAGACCTCCCTGACTATGTCAGGGACATGCTTGGACTGGCTGGGGCTGGGGGTGGATTATGGCCTTGGGACCCTGTTGGGGATGATGTTTCCTCTCTTTCTTTCATGGAAGAAAGAAATTAAGTTTTAAAAAAGTAAGGTAAAATGAACTCATATACCATCACACCAACCATTTCAAAGTAACGGCTCCGTGGGAGTTAGTATATTTGCAAAGGTTTGCAGCCACTGCCCTGTCTAGTTCCGGGTATTAGCCTAAGTCAGTGGGATGCCATTGGAGAATGTGAGCAGGGAGCTTGAGGGTGTTGAGCATTTACACATCCCGAAGGCACCTCTCTAAGATCATGCTTGCCAAGGCAAGGCCTGTTTCCACTGGAATTTTCCCAGCCACCCCCTCTTTCCTTCTTTCAGTAAGTCCTGCCCGAGACATTCGCCTCCCTGGCCTTTCAAACTCTTCCTCCTCTGCTCTTCAGCACTGACCAGCTAAGGTAGGAAGATGGCAGAGGAGGGTGAAAGAGGAGGGAGATGGGTTTTTCATTTCCAACTTCGAGGGTCAAGAGGTAATTTCAGGTGTGCTGACGCGATCAGAGCAGTGTGGTTAATGGCGTGCGTCGGGTAGGGTGGGGCAGCGATCTGAGCCCTGATGGGGCTGGCGGATCTGCTTAGGTGGTGGCAGATTGTGGCTGGCTGTTGGCTGGGGGCCTCAGTTCTTCTCCATAAGCATCTCTCCAAAGAGATGTTTGAGCATCCTCATGACATGGTAGCCGCTTCCCCTAAAAGCTGCAGTGTCTGTTCACGCATGCATCCTTTTTATTAAGTTTATTTCCTCTGTGAGCAAGAAAGAGAGAGAGAGTACATGCACCCCCAACAGGCTGTCAACGTTGTGATCTACCTCCAGCCTCAGCTAGCCCTGAATCGTGGGCACACACACACTCAGAGAGGTGTCCGGATCAGAACCTGGGGCCTTCCATGTGGGCCAGTCTTGCAGGGTATTGTGTTTTACCACGACACCACTGCCTGGCCCCTGCAATGGTTTTTATGACCTAGCCTTGGAAGCCACTCAGTATCACTTCTCTGTCGTTAGTTGGTCACACCAGAGCAACCTGGATTCAGCATGGGAGGGGGCTTCCAGGGTGGATGTGAGTACCAGGAGGCGGGAATTCCTGAGAGTCATCCCATAGCCTGGCACCCACGCTGGCCTTTACCTCCTTGGGTGTGCTGCCCACTCTCAATTCTGGGTCTTTACAAAGACCATTCCCTCTTCCAGACTCAATCTTTTCCCCAACCTGTCCTTCACCCCTCCAGTTTACCTTTGAGTTCTCAGCAGGGGCCAGCCACAGCTCTGTGGGGCCTGAAGCTTACCTAATGCAGGAGGCCCTCTTCAAGGTCATGGAGACACCAATATCTTGCTTTTGCAAAGTTTTCTTTTCTTTTTTCTTTTCTTTTTAAGAGAGATAGTTTTACTATAGGGGGCATGCACTCTCTGGAAAGACAGAGAGACAGAAAGTGAGAAATCACACACACACACCCCACAGGGGGATGGCCACACTGCAATCCTTTCTCCTCTGTTCTCTTGGGATTTGGGGAACACATGCATACAGGCCCAGTATGAGTTTCAAGCCTCTGGGTCCAGGACTCAGATTGTGGTCAGCTACGTGGGAGTCCAGCGACATAACCATTACACCATCTGCTGGTCCCAGCTTTTGCCAAGTTTTCTAATCTTGCAGCCATTACTAGGGCCCATCCCAAGGCCTTGGAAGGTGCTTATGCAAACAAAGAGCCCTGAAATTTCAGCTTCGCCAGAATCACAGTTCATCCTCACCACTTTCTCAGAAAGCTCTCCCTAATCCCTAGATTAAGTAACTTGCACTGCTTCAGTGTCCCCACATGTCATGAGTATAATTAGGTATTTAATATCACTGAGGCCACAAGGAACAGGGTCTTATCCCAAAACTCTCTTTCCTGGGCTTACTCGCAGATGTTGATGATCTGCCATGGATGCCGCGGGAATTAGACAAGGTCCCTGCCATCCTGTCATCTACATTCTGGTGGGGGGAGAGTGGTGGTAAATAACAGGACATTTCTTTAAAGATAACTTCAGCTGGAGAAAGATGCAATGGAGACAATGAACTGGGTAATGGTCAAAGAATTCGAGACCAAATTAACAAGAAGAAGCCAGCCATGGCGAGATCTAGGGAGAGAGATGCTCCTGGCAGAGGAACAGCCAGTGCAAAGCTCTGAGGCAGAAACAAAACGGGGACGTCAGGGCTGAGAAGAGAGGCCATTGTCTGCCCTCAGTAATGGCAGAGGGAGCAAGGGAAACTGAGGGCAGACGGAGGCGAAGGACAGAACAGCTAAGACTGCCAGAATGGTCAAGAAAACTGGGTTTTATTTGTTTATCATGGTGAAATTCAGGGCCAGATGGTGGTAGAGCAGTAACACGTGGTGTTCTGCAGAGCAGCCTACATGGGAAGGTCCCCAGTTCAGGACCAGAGACCTCCCTGACTATGTCAGGGACATGCTTGGACTGGCTGGGGCTGGGGGTGGATTATGGCCTTGGGACCCTGTTGGGGATGATGTTTCCTCTCTTTCTTTCATGGAAGAAAGAAATTAAGTTTTAAAAAAGTAAGGTAAAATGAACTCATATACCATCACACCAACCATTTCAAAGTAACGGCTCCGTGGGAGTTAGTATATTTGCAAAGGTTTGCAGCCACTGCCCTGTCTAGTTCCGGGTATTAGCCTAAGTCAGTGGGATGCCATTGGAGAATGTGAGCAGGGAGCTTGAGGGTGTTGAGCATTTACACATCCCGAAGGCACCTCTCTAAGATCATGCTTGCCAAGGCAAGGCCTGTTTCCACTGGAATTTTCCCAGCCACCCCCTCTTTCCTTCTTTCAGTAAGTCCTGCCCGAGACATTCGCCTCCCTGGCCTTTCAAACTCTTCCTCCTCTGCTCTTCAGCACTGACCAGCTAAGGTAGGAAGATGGCAGAGGAGGGTGAAAGAGGAGGGAGATGGGTTTTTCATTTCCAACTTCGAGGGTCAAGAGGTAATTTCAGGTGTGCTGACGCGATCAGAGCAGTGTGGTTAATGGCGTGCTGGCCCCTGAGGATTCGGAGTTACAGGTTTTTTCCTAGGAGGGGTAAGAATATGGAGTGGAGAGCTGACCTTGCAGTGCTGCAGTGCGCTCAGGTGAGCCCTGGGCTGTGAGCCTCGTATTAGCAGAGCTGACGCTAATTGGCTGTCAGCCCCAGCACTCACTCTGCTCCCAGCAGCCTCTGATCCTCCGGCTCATCTCGGCGTCCACAGGCATCCCGTTCTCTGCGAAGGCTCATGTGCAGGTTGTCCGCGTCTGAGTCCCACCTCGGCCACTGCCCCACTGCGTGACCGTGGGCAAGTGGTCTCATTTCTCCACGGCTCATCCTCCTCACCAGCATGTAGGGACAATGACAGTCCCTGCCTAGTGGGGGTGGCAGAAGGGCTAAATGGTGGTGCACTCGTGGGAACTGAATGACATACGTCCCAGCCATCCAGAGACACATCTAGGGTATACTTTTATAATTCTGTCAAGTGACGACTGTTAATGGGGCCTCTTTGGACAGCCTCCTAGGAGAACCATGGGTTGTGTTCTTTGTCACTGCATCACTCTAAGACAGATGCTTCTTTTGCCCAGAGACTCCCAGAGTGAGTTTCCTGCTCAGAATTGGAACTGAAATTTACCAGACTCCAGGATCTATGGGCCTAACCACGCCTCTAACCGGTCTGCTGGGTTTTCAGGCCAGCCTCATGCCTTCCCAATTGCCTTTCAGGCTCCAGGGAGGCTGGTCCGTCCACCCCAATGGCCAGCCAGACAGACAGAGGAAGCAAGAAGAGCTGACCGATGAGGAGAAGGAAATCATCAACAGGGTGATTGCCCGAGCGGAGAAAATGGAAGCAATGGAGCAGGAGCGAATTGGGTAAGGCCTGACACTTCCGGTCCATCGGGGAGCCACTGCGGCCAGGCAGTAGGAGGCTGTGCTGCAGGGGTGCTGGGGTGGGGCAGGGCTGGCTGCCTGTGAGCTTTGGGTTTGTGACTTGCCAGACCACCACCCAGACAGATCTGGAATCCTTGTTGCATGAGGTGGGAAGCGCTGGAAGAAGGAAAAAGGGAATAGCGGAGTGTGGACTGGGGCTGCATCAGAGAAGGGGGAGGGGAGGGCGCTTGTGTTGGGAATATGGGAGCTTGCCCCTGGGTGCTGCAGGGGTAGGTGTGAGCGTGAGTGTCGTGGTTGTGGAGAGGCAGTCTGGAGACACTGGCTTGTACGTGCCCAAACATGCAGCCGAGGGTGAGGTTAGACGCAGACAGTAAGTGTGAAAAGAGCACGCCTGAAATGAATTAGAGAAACTGATTCGCCTGTGAGTGAGGTGGCAGAGGTTAACACGGTGGGTCTGGATTCAGAGAATGTGGGGTTCCTTCCCAGCTCCCTGCCCACTGACTGCCGCGGGCCTTGGGCCTATTTCTCGGTTCTCTGAGCTCCCGTGTTCACTGGCAGAGTAGAAAGAGATAGTAATTATCCCACAGGACTCAAGTCCGAGGTGGTTAAAGTGGTGCAGGATGGTTCCTGGCCCAGGCCTTTCTAGTTCTGTAACAAATGTCCCCACGTGGGAAGAAGGATGGCGAGGATGATGAAAACGCGCGTCTTAGTCCATGTCCAGTCACTAGAACAGAGCAGCACAGAGCGGGTAGTTTATAAATGGTAGACGTTTATTTGGCTCTTGAAACAGGAGCAGGGAAGCCCCAGAGTGTGGGGCCAGCCCTGGGCGAGAGGCACCACATGGTGGAGGCAGAAGCGAGTGCTTGAGACCGAGAGAAGAAACCCTTCTGCAACGGCTCCCTCAGGAACAGCCTTAACCTGAGGGTAGTGCCCTTGTGATCTGGTCCCTTTTTTTTTTTTTTTTTTTAAGAATTATTTCTTGAATTTTATTATTATCACTCTTTAATTTGCCACAGGGCATGTGTGCTTACCAGAGAGAGAGGGAAAGTGAGAAAGCAAGCCGCCAGGTCCGAGACTCAAACCACAGTTGGCCACGTGGGAGTCCAGCACCTCGTCCACCCTGACACTTGCTGGCCTGATCTGGTCACCTCTTAAAGGCCCCATTTCGAACACGTAATGGCTGCTCAGTTGCAGCGTGAGTTTTGGCAGGGCCATCTGACCACAGCAACATGCATGGGAGAGCGGCAAGCTTATCAGGATGTGTGACATGTGTAAGAGAGTGGCAAGCCGGATGGGCAAAGACAGCTGGAAATACAGGGTGGGCTTGAGGGGGAGGGAGGAAGTGCGGGTGATCGTCAGGTGGGAAGGGGAGCTGCAGAGGAGGGAATGGATGCGTGGGTGGACGCTTTAGTAGCTAGGATGCAGCAGGCCAGTACACTGTCCCCAAGACGGAGCTTAAACAGGAAATGGGGGATGCTGGGATGCCACCTCCCTCCCCAGGCCCCTGTATCAGTTATTCTGCCAAGGGCACCTTGCCTGCTGAGGGCACGCTTAGCTCCCCACCTGCACCTCAGCTGGGCGTTAACGGGGCTCTTGGATAGAAAATGGTGTTTATGGAGATGCGGGAAGTGGGCACCTTTGATTTGAGCCCCACCGGATAATTTCACTCAGGGCAGGCTGGGGCGACCAGAGATGCCGCTGACAAATTGTAAACATGCCCGCAGGCTGCGCTCAACCTTCTGTCCACATCCTCTGCAGCCGGAACCTAGGAATGGGTCTGAGAGCCTTGCTTATAGCGTTGGGTTTTTATTTTGCTTTTTTTTTTTTTTTTCAGTGAGATTTTTTTCTACAAGGTGTATGCACTTGCTAGAGAGACAGAGAGACAGAAAGTGAGAAATCATTCCCCACGGGGGACGACCATGTTGCAATTCCTTCTCCTCCATTCTCCTCTTGGGATCTTGGGCATACACAAACACACGTACAATGTGAGTTTCAAGCTGCCGGATCTGGGACTCAAACTGTGGTTGGCCATGTGGGAATCTAGTGGAGTAACCATTATGCCATCTGCTAGTCCCTTTGTTTTGCTTTTTGAAAGATATGTCAGGAGTGGGGAATTCTCCAGGATGGAGGGATGTGTGCATGCTTCCACTATGCACAATGATGGGCCTCAGCTATGAGCGAAGGAGGGATCTGGACGTTGAGGGTACATGCCGGAAGCAAGAACTCCTCTTGACTTCTCCTCTGTAGCCCTTGCCACCAGCTAACTGTTTTACAAATTTGGTTTGATTATTATATGCCTCTCCCCATGTGATTGTAAGATTTCTGAGGACAGGAGTTTTCACCTGTTTTGTTCATTGCTGTAACCTGGTGTGTAGTAGGTGCACAGAGGAACATTTGTTGAGCAAAAGAGGTAACGGTGCTGGTGCACCCCAATTTCTGTGTATATCACCGGTAGCCAAGAGTCTGGGGAGTTTAAAATCTTGTCTAGGGTCCAAGTTCCCAGGGAACTATTCTGATTGGTTGATTTATGTCAGGTGTGCTATCCCTTGTCCAATCAGCTGCAACCAGGGGGCGCCTGGCCATGTTGTACAAAGGGCTGAGCAGCCCCTGAGAGCAAAGCGAAGGGGGTCCTTGTGGGTTAGGCAGATCCTAGCTTGAAAGTTCTAGAAGTGGGTAAAGGGAGTCCCTGCCTTGTCCTCCAGGGTCTCCATATTTCTCCTACTGACTGCTAACATGGTGGTAATGGTTAAGAGCTGGGGTCTCATAGTCAAAGAGACCTGAGTTCAAATTCCACCTCTGCTGCTCACTCCCTTTGTGACCTTAGGTAAGCCACTTTGCCTTCTGATGGCTCAGTTTCCTCACCTGTGAGATGGGGGTAACATTAGCATACATTTAATTATGCATACTCAGTTAGCACATGAAGGATTACTGTGCTGTTGTGTACAGAGAACATGCTCAGTAAAGGTGACGGTTATTTAACAGTGAACCCAAATAAATAAATTAATAAGGAAGCACCGTTTTGACACTGGTGGAAGCCCCTGCTCTCAAATCATGCCCTAAGAGTCCTGTTTGGCAAGCCTTGGAATTCTAGCAGCCCTGGCTTCCCCTGAAGGAGATTTGAGAGGTTTCCAGGGAACCGTGGGCCAAGTCCTTGGTGACAGAATGTCCCTTTGCTGAGGCCGTGTGTTTTCTGCCTGGCTACCCAGAGTGGGGAGGACAGCCCCGGAAGATTCTGGCGGTTTCCCTGCCTCCTTCCAGCAGCCGGCCCTTCTGGCAGTGTCGCCAGACGCTAGCCAGCGCTATTCGTGTCTTATAAGCTCTTACCTACCCTAATTCCCGTCCCACCCATGCTTCCCTGAGAGGAGACCAGAGGAGAGTCAAATGAAAGCTAAGTGAGCACCAGCCTCACAGTGCAGAGGTAATGTACTGCTCCAGAGAAGCCAGATCCCACACGGTGACTGTGGTTCAAATCCCTGGCCCGGTCAGCCTGAAACACGCTGGTCCCTGCACAAGTGCCCAGATCTGACAGGTTGGAGGACTGGCAGAAGGGGACTGGAGTGTGACTAGACCCTCCGGAGGGTGCTCATTTCTCTCTGTTTCTCTCTTGCTCTCTCTTGAGGCATGCACATGCTTTGTCATGAATGAGGGGGAAAAAATTAAAGCCAAATGGTACTTCATACCAGCAAGGCTGAAAAGGGGGCAGAGGTGCCATCTGGGGCTGCCACTGCAGAGTGCAAGGCTCCCAGTTACTGAGCCACTGGGGCCTCACTGTCCCCATCCACCAACCAGTCATTCTAATTCTCAGGATTCTTTCTGCTCAGAACCCCCAGGACTTGCGGGGAGGGGCCTGTTTTAGAACCCCACACCTTGCTGGCTGTGCCTTTCAGCAAATAAGCGCCTTCGAACTATGTTGACATTGCAGGTGTATCTCTGTCCTCCTCTGGAACCAGACAGCAGCTCGTGGGTTGCAGATTCTTCTCTAGTACCTGAGCAATTGCCCTGGGAGTGGTATGAAATCATCATTAGTAGATCTGATACAGGGCTGCCCCGTAGCACAACAGTTAAGCTCTGTGCATAGAAGCCAATCACCGTGGCCAACCACAGTTCAAGTCCTGGGCCCAATAGCTTGAAAAACACCCTGCCCCAAATCCTGAGGGCATGGAGAAGTAGAGGAAAAATGATTGTAGTTTACCACAGCCAAGGGAGGTGCTAGTGACAGTCATCTTTGGGGACTCTGCCACATTATGCAAAAAGAAGTACTTAAAATAAGGATGCAGAGAGATCTCGAGGGATCCTCATTCTGTTTCAGAAAAGGAATTCTCATTGGCCCAGCTCACCCTGGGTACCCACGCTTCATCCAATCAGCTGTTGGCCAGAGGTGCCCGGTATACAAACATGGCTGCCGAGTGTGAAAGGGGACTTCGTGAGTTAGAAAGACACACAAAGGGTACCCACAGGACTTTCAGAACGTATTAAGTCTGGAATTAAACATTTGCCTAGAAAACGTGTTTGCTTTTCCCTCCCCTCCACCAGCTAGTCCCTCTGTGTTCTGTTGCTTCCTGCCCAGAGCCTCTCAAAGGCATTTGGTCATGTATCTTCCCGTGAAGGGACTGGCAGCTGGGTGGCTCTCATTTGAGGTCAGCTTTTCTAAGCAGATGGGCCCAAAAAAGTAATTAGGAATTGTGATTAACCTTGGCACCCCAACGCCATGATGGAGGAGGAAGCCAGAGACACAGGCAGACCTGTTGTTGACAGAATCCATTGCATTCCTGTCACCTCCTTGTCCTGGCTCCACTGTCCTCCATCTTTTTGGCACAGAATTTTTCTAAACTATGGACAGAGGGAGACGTGAGCAATAATGAGAGGGACATGCTGCACCTCATTAGGTGGGCCTCATGGTGTGACAAGCAGACAGTAAGCTGCCCTCCACGCTCCTCTTTCCACAGGGGGCCACTCGCCCTCCCTGTTTTAACCTGGAGCCC